CTGTCCATGCGAATGCGTTGGTGGTGTTGAAGTTGAACTCAAAGAGGTTTGTGAAAAGTGGCTTGTCCGAATTCTTCGCAATAAGGAGGGGGGCTTCTACGAGGAAGGTATTATGACAGTTGCCGTCTAGATGGAAACAGATCATCGAACAAAACGGGCGCTATTTTAACTAAATCTGATCACTGTAACACTTTTTAATAAAGCATTGAATGAAGAGCAAAAAAAAGCGGAAGGGATATTTGAACAAACCTTATATATTAAATTTGTTTGACAAGTGACAACTGGAAATAATTTCACACCTTTGTTTCTTGCATAATGCAATATTATACAATTTTGCTTACACCCGAACTCAGCCTTTTCTTACTTATTTAATTGTAGCGTTTTTAACTGAATTTACCATAATCGAATATTGTTTAACTATTTGTTGCATCACTAATCAATGCGATTTGCATTGTTTGCAACAGTGTAAAACAAACAATGGCGTTTATTGTCCAAACCAAAGAAGCGTGAACAAACGCAGCAGAAGAAGCCGGAGCAAGAAATAAACTAAAGCTATACACATGGTAAGTATAAAATCATACATATGCATACATACAAACATTATATGTACAAACAAGCATGTTGCTAGAAAATAACTCTAGAAACGAGTCGTCGTCATAAATAATCGAATTGGCCAAAGGCAGTTTGTCAACTTCCGGAGTTGTTTAAATTTCGGTTTTTCATAGTCAACTACCAAAATATCCAATAACTTAATGTTTGTTTGTAAAAGTCAACAGCGATTTTTCGTCTTAATTAAAATAACGTCGCGTTATAACCAATAAACCAAGTAATAATGCTCTTGTGAAGTGGTGAAAACACACTCGCTTAACATGTGTTTGATACAGGCGGGCAAATGTACCTACCTGTTTCGGCAACTGGGCGCTGAATGTCAATCGACATGCAACTTCGTGACATGTTCTATTCTAATTTATGCTTACATACCAATTGTATCGCAAAGCAATTAAAAGTGTAACACATTGCGAGCGGCGACAGGAACTCGTTACTCCGTTAGCATGTCAAATCGGCGTAATATTTATTCAAGATAAATCAAGTTAACAAATAAAGTGATTTGTCGGCAGATAAATGGTCAAATATGTAACTTTTCAACATGCTTATTTATTTTGTTGTGCGGATATATCTGCACCGCACATTTTGCTAATTGACGCTAGCAACAGTTGCACATGTTATGTGATACTGCTACCATATATGGCTTGGCAATTATGTTTTATTCTTTGCATGCCGATTGAAATGCAAAGTAGTGGAAGAAAATCAGACCTAAAAAAGGCTCATTTTTTATAAATACCAGCTCAACTAAAATTCTTAAAATCAATAGAATTTTAGCGAAAACTAATGCAAATGTGCGGAATTTATGAAAAGCGAAAGTGAGAACGATTTCTTTGCCAAATGTGCCAAACTTTTTTATTAGTATTGAATATAGCACTATCTAACTCGATATGCATGGTCAAGTCCAGAAAATTATTATATTAAGTATAAGCCAGCCAGCGAATTTTGGCATCGATTTTAATAAATATTATATATGGCATCTAATCATATTGTGACCCGTTCTGGATCAAGGATTGCACAATTAGAGTTACACAAGTTTGGTTTCGATATCTTTATAAAGTGATTAGGTCAGTCTATACTACTCAAAAAGCCTGACTTTGAAATTTATTCTTGGACCAAAGAAAAATAAATCGATTTCGATTCTTGGACAAAGAAAAATAATCGAGTTTTCGATTCAGGCGTTATTGACATGTATTTGAGAAGGTAAAAAAAATTGCATATCGATATTTTGATACAAAATTATGGGATAAGGGGTTACACACAGTTAGAATTTTCCTTTTTTTATTGTTTTTTGAATTTTTTTGTTTTAATGTACATTAGGGTGGAGCGAAAAAATGTATTTATTTTGCTTAGTCTGAGCGCAAATCTGTAGATTATAAAAAAAGAAAATGGTTTGATAAAAAAATAATTTTGTTACATCTAGAGGGCCCACTCAGTTTTAAAGTAAATTTCGTGTTAAAATTTCAGAGTGCTTGAGTCATAACGCCGGAGCCGGAGAACTTTAAACGCGTGTTTCTCAGAATGCGTGTTTTCAAAGTCGGTGACCAACATTACCGAAACCGCTTAACCTTTGCGTCGGCTCACCGCGATTCTATACGACCATATTCATCTCATGTTCTCTTTGTCCTTTACCACTAATCATTCGTCTTTTAAATGAATCGATTTCATTGATTCAGCCGATTCGCAAATGAAAATTCGTTAATTATTACGCTTTGTGTTAACTCATATGGCACCCATACATCTAGCTTTTTTTTTATCCAGTCTTATTTAAATGGTTCCAAACGATTTTTCGCAATGCTTAAGCTGTTGGTCAATCGAAACAGTGCTTACATGACGCTTGCACCCGATGAATTTTTAATATGAAAATTATTGGATGGTCGACAAAATATTATACATAGTAACAGGGCCATAACCATATTACATTTCATGGGTTTGAATGTTTCACTCATCCATTTGTCTTTCTATATCACCACACTAATATCTCTTACTCTATTTGGGCTTACTAACCTTACTTATCTAGTACAAATGCTACTAAGACAAAAAAGAAACAAAAACTAGAAAAAGTTAACTTCGGCTGCACTTTAAGCTATTAATACCCTTCACAGGTGCATTTTTATGGCATAAAAAGTTATAAAAGACCTTTATATTGATTTGGATCGGTCATTTGTATGACAGCTATATAAAGTAATATTGTGGTCCGATATCAGCAGATCCGACAAATGATCAGTTTCTTGGAGAAAAGACGTGTGAACATTTCAAATCGACATTTCAAAACTAGGGACTATTCGCATGTATGCAAACAGACAGGCATAGTTAAATCGACTCAGCTCGTCACGCTGACTATTTATATAATATATTTTGTAGGTCTCTAAAGTTTCATTCTGCGAGTAATAAACTTCGTGGCTCACTTAATATACCCTGTTCAGGTATAATAATAATTATTTAGCTTTTTGAACGCACGCATACTAATACAAAGAAGAAGAAGAAATTTTAAGTTAATTTTAGGAAAAAAAACAATAACGAACACGATATAGCAGATAAATTTTCTAAAATAGCTGAAGACAATTGAAAATCCACAATGCAAACCCGAAATAAAAGCTATGATGAAATAACTAAATATGTGTGCATGTTAAGTTGTGTGTGTGTATGTATATATGGAAGCAGATGAATGGCTATTGCGCGTCACATTGATACGTCAGGCTGAAAAATGCCGTTGGTTCTTCGAGCAACAGCCATGCGTTGTGTGACATCCACAGCAGTGGCTAAGGCAACAACAATAGCAACAAGGAAAACAAGAAACAGATTCAGCATGGTACAACATGCGTTACGTTGCTCGGGGCGCACTCTACAATGCAAAACAAAACAAGCTGCCAAAACCAACAATGTTCGCAGCTATTAAACGACAAGCTCAAGCCGGTCGAATGACAAAATCGACAATAATCCATCTGGTCAAATGCATATGCACGAAATTTTAAGGCGACTCACAAATTTCTGTTACACGAGTTGGAGCAAAGTTGGACAAATATCGCGTGCAAGTGGCGAGCTGCTGAAATTCCTATAAAAACGGAATAATTAATTTATAAATACTGTGGTGCGAGCGTGATGGCGGCTGTGAGGCAAATGAAACAAAAAGTGCCTCATACCAGTTCAAAGCCAGACCAAAAAAATTAAATAATTTAAAAGCAAATAAAAGTAAACAAAAAGCACAAACTAATTTTAAACAATAGCAATTCGATTGAGTTTAGTTGTTGTGGCAAAAACAGCTGACACAGCTGTAATGAAGCACTGCCAAACCGGCATTTCGCTGCCCACTACCAGCTACATAACAATATTACGAGCCACAAACACACACACATGCACACGCGCGCACTCACGTATAACTTTGATATTCAACAATGTTTCAGAGTTAACAAAAATTTACAAAATAAAAATATTTTCAAAAAATACATATATACTCTTAAATAGATGCACCTACATATGTGCTAGAGTGTCTCGAGAGCGCACAGTGCTGCAAGCATGGATAAAATATCATTTATACAAATATCGAGTATCATATCATATGATATAAGTACATTTTTTAAGATGAAACTGCAAAAGAAGATTTAGAACATAAACTTAAATCAAATATACTTTGAAGAAATATTGAGCAATTTTATAAATAATTTAAATTATTTGTATTTTTCATTAAGTAGTAAGATTGCATTAGAAAAATAATTGAATTAACATTTAAATAAATTTTTTTATTTTGTAATTCTTAATATCGGTTTGAAAAATTGAAAATAAATTTTTAAACCCAAATACTAGTAAAAAAAATTAATCCCATGTTTGAAATTAAAAAAAAAAATGTTTTTGAATTTACATGTTTTTTGCGATTGCCTAGTTCATGTTCTACAATTTTAAACCAGAGGTCGCATAATAGCTGATATTAAATACTGACAGATAGATTTATAATATATTAATTTTTATTGCTGAATTAGGGATCAAAAACTAAATTTTTGATTTTTAATTTAAAATTTCGATTTTTCAACTACAAATTAGTCTTACAATTTTAATTTAATATAATCATACTAGAGTGAAATAATTCTGCATGGTTTTACTTATATATCAAATATTAGAAAAAAGTATACAATAAATCGTTTTTAAAATTATAGATCCGTTAGAAAAAGTTCTCACAAAATAGCTCATATTCACTGCTTATAAGAAATCTACACACTGTTGACTGCTTTGCACACTCAAACGAAACGAAAGACTTAAGCAACAAACTCGAGCATACGGAGCTAACTGAGCATAAAAACTACCTAAGTAGTGAGTGAGTCGAAAAATCAACAAGCGCAAAGTCATAAACTCAAATTCTACGCTGCTGAGCGACAAAAAGGTCTAGACATTTGGCCGAAAAACGCAACGGCCGTCAGTAGGTTTTGTAGTTGGCAAACGGCAGCGAAAACGAGCGAACTGAATGCATGCTTCGCGCAAAGTGTCAAGTTATACCGAACTGAACGGACGTGCTTTTGCGGCGACGCGTGAAACGAAATAGGAATCTATGTAAAAATATATAGAAATATACATATATAAGAATTATATTTAAAATTTAGATTTACGTGAAAGTGTTGGCAAAAATTATATTCGAATTTTTTTTCTATTTTTAGAGAGAAAAATTTATTAAATTTCCATATTTTTTTAAGTTTAAATGAAAACGTGTTTAACTTTTGTGCTTCTATCTAAGTATGCGTGAATGTGTAGTGTAAGAGGCCAATAAATTGCCTAAATGAAGCAATTAAATCTGAGCGTTTAGAAAGCATTCCACATTCGCACAACTTGTTTTTGCAGTTTTGCTTTTAAAACAGTGTTTCAAATACTAAAATTTTATTTCTTAAATATTTTTAGAAGTGTGTCAAAAGAATCGCTGAAATAAATAATTCACGATTTTTCTATAAAATACTCAGAAACGCTCAAAAAAGAATTTATATGTTACTCCCATTTGTATTCATTTGCGAATTTTCAGGAAATAAAGAAGAAATACACTTCACCTGCGCCGCGCTGTTTGTTCGGGTTTTAATTTGGTAATTTTTTTATTAAAAAAAAAAAATAAAATAAAAACAAAAATAAATTAAATTAAGTTTTAATGTACGATCGTTAAGGCGATAAAATAACACAAGTGAAATTATTGTGATTTGTGTGCGGATGTTGTACGAACAACTGACAGCGTCTGCAGAATTGGCTTGAAATAAATAGTTGTGTACGTTTTTTTTTATTTTTGTTGTTGATCTAGCGGTTCCTATTGAACTTCGTTAAGGTGTAGTTAAAATTTGTAAGGCTGGTATCGCACATACACAATTCGTTCGGTTGGCACTATATCGTATAGCCTGATAGTGTCTCAATTTGAACGAACGTGCGTGGATTATATAAGAGCGTGCAATTCGTGAATAATCTAGTGCCGAATGAACGAATACGAATAATGTTGTATTTGAAATATGTTGTTATGTGTGCGTTGAAATTTTATTTTGGTTCCTTTCTAATCTAGTTTCATTAGAATATATTAATGAGACGTTAGTGCGATTTTAGAATTTTATATTTTGGGATGATAATTTAATATAAATTATAGGAGGTGAGATAAACTTTCTTTGTTTTTGCTATTAAGTTAAATAATAAACTGATTTTGAAAAACAAAAATTTTATATGATATAAAAAGATGCACAGGAAAAAGCTCAAATTTAAGGAAATCTTCGGTCTGTAAAATTATTTTACTCATTGCAATTTCCATCGAGAACTTTAAACGATTTGCTATATGATTTGATATAGCATTTCTTTAGTAAATAACTCAAATTCAAATGTTTAACTAGTAGAGGAACAATTTTTATGAATACAATGCCTCTAAGATGAAAAGTGCTGATTTAGTCATCGGACATTTAATAACTTTGCAGATTTTCTCTCAGTACTCACAAGATTTTTATTCGTCTTGCTCCACAAACTTAAACATAATGTCTTATAAGAACAGAAGTGATGAAATTATAAAATTTTGATTCTAAAATTAAGAAAGTATATTTTCAGCATTTGGCTTAATTTTATTGATTAAACGTCATCATGATGTTTTTTACACTATATGATTATAATACCATCACATGACCTATGATATTAAATGACGTTATTCTTTTCAAATATGTTTGTGCATATTTTTGTAGTATTTGTATAAGTATATTATGTTTTTAAGAAGTTATCATATTTAAAGTCAAATCAATTCAATTCAAATACAATGTGACATCAGATCTTATCTACAACTGTGCTCTTAGAATGTTGTAAAATTTTAAACTATATTTAATTTATATATATAAGGCATAAAGATAAGATCTGACTTATCAAGTACTGTTAAAAGCTGCCATTGGTTATAATAGCAATCACATATAATTGATTTCTAGAAAAGTCTTTATTTTGACACAAATGACATGCTTTTTATAGTAAAATATTTGCAAATTATGCTTAAAACTTTGAAACTTGTTGTTCACAAATAAATTTAAAATATTTATTTCATTCAATCTATTGAATGCATATCATAAATCTACAAGATATGCCAAACAATTTGTGAACGAAGAAGGCGATTGACACTAATCGACGACAATGCCAAATTTAGGAAACAATTAGCGCTGAAGGTTAAAGATCAAAGTCAATTAAAATGCAAAGAAAATAGCAGATTTGTATTTTAAATGTTTACATTTAATGTACAAGATTGATTGATATGACATTGAGCTATTAATAGACAACATGCGGGTGGTTCTATTTTAATAGTTTATGCATAAAAGGTAGTATATATAGATGTTTATACTGCCTATACATACAAGTATATAGTTTGTATTTTAATACTCACTAACATAACGTTGATCCTATTATTGTTTGTCAAACAATTAAGTACAAAAAGCTACACAATAACTATTGCGAAGAGTTTGAGTGCATGCTGGCGTAGAGTCACATAACGCGTATACATATGCATTTATATTCATATGAATATAGTTAAGCCAACAGCAAAACTATCAAATCCCAACAGAGATAACGCGTCAAATGTTCATGGTTAGCCGGCTTTGTTGAGATCAACTAACATCAAACCACCATATATCACAAGCAGCCAGATAAAATCTGACAGTTCAGCAAGCACAGTATAAAATAAGAAAACGCAAACTTCGTTACACAGAAGCTGGTATAACCTACAAAAAGAAGTTTTCATATAAGAACTTGATTTTAATTACTCAGCTTGTATATAAGCTATATGATATAGTGATCCGATCTTGAGAATTTTTTCAGTGGTTACAGTTTGTAAGGCAGCTATACACTGTAGTGGTCACACATCGTTGGTTTCGATAAATAAGTAACCCTTAGGAAGGAAACTACGTATGCAAAATTTCAGATCGATATCTCAAAACTGAGGGACTAGTTCGTATACAGGCTCGTCACGCTGATCATTTATAACTATATACATTTTATAGATTCTCTGACGTTTCCGTTTGGTTGTTACAAACACTGCGGCAAGCTTAATATACCTTATTAAGGGTATAGATATATAAATATATATATATGTAAGTAGTTATATGTGCATGTGTGTGCGTGTGTCGTGATGCTTCATTTATGGTCTGTGCAAAGTTTCCACGCAATAAAACACATTAACGCTGTCTTAAAGTGAATAAACCATAAACAGATAACAAAAAGCACACAATCAACGCCAATGCACACAGCCACATACACATACATGCATAAACTTACACATGACTTAGGCAAAACAACGGCTGTCAATCTGCCTGTCAAAATTCCAATATTTTGTCAAACAGTTGGACATGCGCACACACAAACAACCACACAGAAAGCAATTATATAATAAGCAAAAGCAAAAGTGTTGAAATAACTAAAAATTGTTTTGCACAACTTTGTCATGGCTGTCAAACATTTTGCGGCACTGCGCAATAGTAGGAAACTACTCGCATCGGCTAGAGGACACCAGAAATTCAAAAGAGAATATTGCCAAGTGAACGCATTGCAAAAATCTGCGAGCACACAATATAAATATATATATAAAATAAAATCATTGATACAGTATACCTATACATATGTTATGCTGGCATAAAAATTCCCCGCTGCTTTTGTGTTTAATTTGAAATTTTTGGGCTAGTCTCTGGCACAGTGACCGGCATTGAAATGCAAATAAATTCGCTATTCTGCGAAACAACCAACAAAATTATCTACTGAAGTACGGGTGGTTTGGCCGTTAAGCTAACTGTATTATTTGATGATGCCATTTCGTGCAGTGAAGCGGGTTGTAGTTACTTTATTTCATAAGGTTACCTGTTTTTATTATTCGGAAAGAAATTATTTGCTGTTCGATACTGTAAGAGTGTTTTATGGATGTAGGTTAGCACCCTTGTATTGCAATATGGCCACTCACAACTTTATTGTAAATTTTTACATTTTTGAGCTATTTGTGTTGTTTACAGTAACTTAAAATATTCATCTCAGGCTAAAAATAGAATTAAAGCTCGAACATTTTCGCGCGATTTTTTTTTTACAACTTTAGACGTGAACAAACTAGATTTTTGGCGATGAAGCTCTATTAAACACCAGTGTTTATCGATCGTATGGTTAACTCGATCGAGGTCGTAGATCATTCCAAGACGAATGTCGTCCAAAACCAGTTGTTGTTCCGGAAACTATTGATGTTGTGTGCAAACTGATATTGTCATATCGTCTGTAATCTGTCGTCAGATTGAGATATTCTAGAAAACTTTCCTCATGCAAGGTGTCAATATAGCGTGCTATATTAGTTAGAGATAGGTAAAAGAGAAGCTTATGAATATCCTTCATAATGTGGGAATTTTTTATACTGTGAGCCTCTTAGAATTTTGTTACGCAACATAATTACTAACATGCCTGTGGAACTTTTACTTCAAAATAATGAAAGCATTGAGAAGACGTGAATTCATTTTCGTATGTGTTTCGTGAGCGATTAGAAATAGCTTTAATACATATTCATTAAAAAAAAATATTCCAACATTCTTTCATTGTTTTATGCATTCTTTTTGTTTCCTTTTCGCACTTTGGCACACTCATTCAGAGTTGAAAAAAGTTGATTGATTAACTTGCAAAATCAATTAGCGCATTGTTCGCGCCCTCATAAATATTCAGCTATGTATTATATGTGGTACATGGGTTCATAGAATGGATATTATGTGCACACACCTGCTGAAGTGGTAATAAGAATGACCTAAGGTCCGTGTATGGTTAAGTGCTTTGTGTATTTGGTGTGGCAATGGCGTTCAGCATGAATTAAGCGCATTCAACAATAAAATGAATTTATTTATGAAAATGTATACCCAATACTAAAAAACCAAAAATAAAAATGTCAACTTCTGCTACACCGAAGCTATAATACCCTATACATTTCTTATAGCACTTTTTATAGCACCACCGGCCAAACACCGATTTCATGAAAATATCTTGTCAAATAAAAGAGTTTCAATAAAAGAGCAAAATTTAGATTTTTTAATTTGTATGGCAGCTATATGACATTGTGATCCAATATCGGCAATTCCGACAAATGAGCAGCTTCTTGGGGTGAAAGCGACGTTTTCAAAATTTCAAAACCATATCTCAAGAGAGACTAGTTCGCATAGATATAGACCGACAGGCATATAAAGAATTTCGGGTTTTCGACGTTTATATCTGGGAACTACAAACTTACTAAAATTAATATAATTATTCCAAAATTACTTTTCGGTTATGAAAATGTTTGCGAAAGAGTTTTTTCAAACTAATAGCTCTTAACTACTAACTTATTTCTTCCGAAAAGTTTCTACGAATATTTATGAAAATTTGTTGGGTTACTTTTAAGTTAGAGAGTTATATTTTCTTAGATTTTGCGAAACATTCAGTGAGAGCTGCATTTTAATTTGAATTTTTTTTTTGATATTTTATATCGATACGGGAAATTTTTTTTACTTAAGAAAAGTTATTGCTATCGGATCTGAGTGAGATGAATTCGAAATATGAGATGTGTTCAAAGAAAAGATGAGTACTTATTTATTCATCAATATGTATTTTTTTTACTTTCAAAGTAATCGACAATTTAATTGGCTTCTTCAGTTTTGAAAATACGACAAGGTCGCAGGGAGCCAAATCTGGTGAATACGGTGGTTGAGGCATGATTAAGGTTTTGTTTTTGGACAAAAAATTACGAATAAGCATTGATGTATGAGCTGCATAACTTACTTATAGTATTTGATATTAACTGTACGACCTTTTGGTAGGAACTCAGGATGCACCACACCATCTGGCAGC